CGAGGGCTCAGGCAGGCGCGGAGTGCCCGGGGAGGGCTGGGGTTCAGGCTGCGGGCCGGGAGTGTGTGGGGATGAGGAGAGGGGGTGCCTGGGGTTACGGGTGAGGGGATTCGAGCAGCCTCCCTTTGCTCCTGGGGAGGCAGATGAGTGACCTGAACGCACAGCCCATTTACTGGTTTTGTACATTTTAATATATAAAATGTATTTATGCTTATGTGTAAAAGACCTTCTGTGGGGGGTCAGGCTGGCAGCAGGCTCGGCCCAGCGGCTGTGGTTGTGTCGGGCCTGGTGCCTGTTAGACCTGCGGGTGAGCCCTGGGCCGCAGCTGCCGCCCGTGAGGACGGCTGTGGAGAGCCGTGAAGCGCACAGGACCACCTTCCCTCGCTCAGCGTCGTGCCTGTGGAGCTCGTTCATCATTCATTAGGGCTTATTTTTAGGTTTAGTGGGGATGTTTAAATATTTATGTGTGCTGAAAATGTAGTTTTTAATAAAAGGTGGGAGAGTTGGAAATGCTCTAATGGTTATGGCTGTAACGCCACATTGAATTATGTTAGATTACTTATAAAATGCAGGCAGTAATAATAAGGTTTAGCTCATAGTAAATCTAAAGCAAAGGCCTAGCAGAACCTTTCTTCTCCCACAACAGAGTAATTATTCAGATATTTCCTGCTGGTTGTTACATTGTAGAAATTGTATTGAGCCATAGACACACAAATACAGATATGAAATCATCTGAATGATAAGATAAAACACATGATAGGTGAGAGACAAGAAAGCAGGCACCCGAGTGAAAAAATATTTATTTTTCTGCACTTGCCAGAAAAGCTAAGAAAGATTAAATATGTTAGAGTTGTGTGAGCAGTATGTGGGTGTGCTGGATGGAGAGTGACAAATTGAGACTTGCTTCTTTATGATTGTATACGATTTACAATTGTTTATAAAAAGGTTGTTTACATCAGTATATGTGGAGGGAGCAGCTAGTGCCTAATTTTGCTAATTCCTATGTTTTTGTTGTTCTCTGAATAGAACTAGGGCTCAAGTCTATCCCTGCTTAATTGTGAATGGAACACCACTGAAAACAGCAAACTCTGTAATTGGATATGTTACAAAGTACTTGAGAAAATAAGAGTTTTTTGCTTTAACATTAGCAAAATATTATGGATAAGAACTTTCAAGGAGAACAGTTTACAGGAATCATTAAATTTACACCTCCTTTATACAAACAACGCTACCAGTTCATTAAAGATTTAGTGGGGAAATACAAACCTAAGAAGGTTGGTATGTTTTGTCTTTTTATGTTATGAATTTGAAAAAAAGTTAATATTAGGAATCTCAGGAATACAGGAAGTGCATAGATAACCTGCTGACCTAATTACCAAACAACAGTAGTGGAGGAGCTGTTGTTAAAACTGAATTGCCTTAGCAGACACTGATGATCATGTTGGGGTTTTTTTTTCAGAGGTGCATATAATTAATGTTCATTGATGGGAAAATCTAAATGAGAAAAATGTCTTAGCCTGTTTTGGAGAGTAGTTGGCATTCTGGTTTTAATTTAATGCTGAGGATTCTGGTTCACTGCTTTCATCATAGTTTGGTTTTGCTTTCTAGAACTGTTAGTTCTGTATACGGCATCAGGTTTACCTTATCATTCACATGGATGTTCTCAGATGAGAACTAACATGAAGAGTGTGGGATTATGCAAGGCTAACTCTCCTCCACTTTCTTAAGGTCTTGTCACCACCTCTTGTGTCCTGTCCCGTCCCCCCCCAATATAGCAGGGCTCTTGTTTTGATATTCATCTTGAAAAGTTAAATTGTTTAAGTAATGTCATGTAGTGTTTGCTCTTTTCTAATATATCCTCCCTCCCAGCACCTCCTTCCAAAATGTAAAAAGTTGAGAAATGCCTCCGTCTTCAGTGTTTAACTCTGAAACTGATGTTAATGTCTTAGGCAGCATGCAAGGAATCAGTGAGAAGTGCACCTGCGGTGTGCTCACATAATCATACTTCTGGTAGCTAATACAAAAATCTATTCCAGTCCATGAGGTTATGGCACTATAATCTGCTTTTAAACAGAACGTATTCAGGAGTATTGCATCTGTATTTAAAGGTTTGAATTTTCTGATTTCGGATGTGAAATGGGGGGGGTATTTATAAACTTTCTGTTTACCCACAGAGTAGAGGTAAGCTGAATAGAAGCAATTCAGGATTTTCAGAGTATTGAGCAGTGCACTTCAACCTTGGCTTAGCCTTAGAAAGAACAGTGGGGTTTGGTTTGCGTACTCAACTACCTTTTAAGCTTACCGGAAAGAATATCAATTATATATTTGACTTTGTGGTCTGAATATTCCTGGCCTTCCCCACTTAAACATTAGACTGAGCCTGTAAACTTGTTTTATGCAGATCCTTTGCTGCTAACCTGGCTGCTGGTGATCCTGTTCTCAGTGTTTTGGATGGGGAGCAGGCCAGTGAAAAGCAGTGGTGAATGTGAAAATTGCTACAGCTTTAATTCTTCAGAATTGTACCTTACAGTTATTTGAGGGACTATGCCTTCATGTGGAAGACATTCTGCGGAGTCAGTGGGATGTTCTACATGTACTTGTTTATAACTGTAGTAACAAAAGGTCAATCCATTTAAAACATCTCGTAGGATCTTTGTATACATTTTTAAAAAAGAATTTCATCTCCATGTCTATCCTGGTTGCAACTGTAAATTTTGGTTATGATTGTGAAATGCTTTATTTTATCATGAAAATGTTATTGTGACCTAAATATGGAATTTTTATTATATGAAAGTCTCTGAAACTACTTGGAAATATGCAGCATTTACATATCATTTAATATCTAATTTACAGGTGGCAGATTTAGGATGTGCTGACTGTACGCTTCTCTGGATGCTGAAATTCTGCAGTTGCATTGAAGTGTTAGCTGGGCTAGATGTCTGTGCAAGTGTAATGAAAGAGAAAATGTAAGCTCTTGCCTTGTGTTAATTTAAGGTTTATGTTTAGCTTGACCTAGTGGCATGATACATCGTTTCTTGTCAAGAATTTCAAAATGAAGGTAAATGCAGAAATACCAGCTTGGCAAATGTTATTTAGTTATGTTGCACCTGTGTCTGGAGACTATTGGATTGTAGATTCCCGTAATATCAGCTAATGTAGTAAAGGTCCAAGTCGCGGAATGGCCCCAAAGGTGTGTACATCTGAGAAATATGTTGTTTGTAAAGGTATTAACACGTTGTATTAATAGTATCTGTGTATGCTCATACATGACATTACTGTGGTATGCAAAAGTAATCTTTTTGAAATGTGCACGTAACGCCCTTTTAGTCACCATGGTGTGGACTTCATTCTTGTTAATCTTTTTGAAATGGCAAGGTTAGTTCAATGTTGTCTGTCTGGCTTAGAAGGCTCTAAACTGTGGAGTTTGTGATCTTTGAAGTATGGGTCAGACTGGTGAGGAACTCCAAAGTTTCTCTCTTGGAAGCTGATTAATATGGTTTCAGTGAATATGTAGGCTTTAGATGCTGACAATCACTTGTTCTTTCTCAAGAATGAAAAAAGTAGCCTTTTATTATACTTAATGTTGATTGTGCATTTTGTCTGATGCAGTATTACAGAATGAAATTTGCACATATATTTTAGTTCTCAGTCTATTTTTATTTGGAAAAAAAGTTTAATATGCTTGCCAGTTAACTTCCCCCCAAAAATACTGTGAAGCATGTCTAAGCCAGACTTACTGTGTGTCTGGAGTTGAGCTACTATGAGAATTTACAAGCAGCTTTGCAAGTGGCTTGAGAGTCTAGTGGAAATTTTTGTAAACATGAAGGACAGCTGCTAGATTAGCTCTTTCTGTCCTATTGTAGACAGTCGGAAAAAGTGTTTATATTAGAATTTTTTTTTTAATCCCTGTAAAATAGTTAACCTTTTTGAAATTTACAAGGTATCTATGCAGGGTGTTACCTAGTTCAGTTACATGCACAATTTATCTTTTCCTAAGGTCCTTTCTATGACATCATGTTGTTAATACTTTTGTAGGCATAGGTTGTCTCCTCTTCCTGGTGATTATTTACAACCGGCTGAAAGATCCCTAACTGTTACTTTGCATCATGGTTCAGTTGCCCATAAAGATCCTTGCATGCTTGGTTTTGACTTGGTAACGTGTATTGAACTGTGAGTATTGGACCAACATACGATATTTTTATAAGTTCATTAGGGTTTAGTTTGGAATTTTGTCCATATCCTAAACAGATGTGAGCAAACCTTTCAAGAAAGAGTAGTGAATGTGGCATCTTCTAACTTGTGCTTAAATTAACCATAGTAAGAAATTCAAGTGGTGCTAGCTTATGGTGGAAAAAGGATATTGATGAAAAAGTACAAAATGCAAAACGACGTTTTCTCACACAAAAACTTCTAAATAGCCACTCAGCCACAGTGCCAGTGCTAACATTGCAGAGCTAAGCTTAAAATTACAAGGAATAGATACGGGTTTGTTGTGTTTTGGGTTTTTTTGTTTTTTTTTTTACTTTTTTAGAAGATTAAAAACACCCTACTAGATTTCAAAGACATACATAAACTTATCCTTTACAGAATAGAGCACCTGGAACAATCGGAACTAAAGAAGTTTCCTGAAGTGGTGTTTGGTTTCATGGCTCCAAGCATAGTTGTGATCAGTACTCCAAATTCTGAATTTAACCCTTTGCTTCCAGGAGTGACATTATTCAGGCATCCAGACCATAAATTTGAATGGAACCAGGCACAATTTCAAAGTTGGTAAGTTTACTGAATATTGTATGTGGACGGCTTTGAGTGTTCAGTAATGTGAGAAAGGAATTGCTATATGTTTTCACAATGGTTTGTGTACGTGGTTTGGTGTCAGTGGACTTTCACACCTACTGATTTGCTGAAACATTTCTTTGCTGTTATAAATAGTTAAGCATGCTCTGTGGGTTTTGCATTTTGTGATGGTTGTTAAGTTGGCTTGCTTTAAGTATTTTTTGCAGAGCAGTTACAGTAAAAACTTTTACTTTCCTTTTTATATATCTTTATTACAATGAATGCATTTGAAGTGTAAGGTATTAATTAACCTTTTAACATAATACCATGCTATAGAAATGCTTCATAAAAACCTAAGAAATGTGCTTGCTATGTATGGTGTGTAATCAAAGCACTCAATTAGTCTAGACCTTTCTGTAAGAGGATACAAGCAGAATTATCAAATAATCACAGTAGCAGTGCATGTTGAATAAAGTTAAGGATATTTTAGTGGATCATGGCACAATGAAAGATTTTATGCAAAATGTATGTACATGACAGTTGCATGAGATGTGTCTTATCAGTAGATGTAATAAAAACAAAATAAAAGAGGGAGTGGGATTTTTATCCTGTGATAACATTCAACTGTCGGGCAGTTGTGGAAAAAATATATGGTATGGTAAAGGATGCCATACCTCAATGGCCAACTCTTGGTCAGAAATTGTATGTTGGAATATTTGCCCCTTAGATTAAGTTGTTTCTGCCATAGACTTTAAAGTACACAGTGATTTTTTATTTTTTTTTAGTATATAGTTTTGCAAAGCTTGCAGCTTTTTTTAATTTTAATTCCCTGCCCTATCACTTTTTTCACACCAGCTGATGTACAGTACTACAAGATTGGTTTTCATTCAGATGTCATGTACATTGTTGTAACCTTGAATAGGTAGACTTTACTCTTGATACATTTACAACAAACCTAACTTTTTTTTTCTATGAACTGGTCTCTTGTGCGTTTGGGTGTATATGTTTATTGGTTCTCATAATTTTATTCTCTAAAATCGGTAGGTTTTAGTTCACTTTCAATGTGTTTAAGACAGTGAGTAAGCAACTGTGAACATGCATATTCTATGCAGATATTTTAGAAATAACAGTAATGTTTGCCTAAATTACTGATACTAAATGATTCAGACTATGGCAGGCATATGATTACAGCTCTGATTCAGCAAGTTTTGACAGTGCTTATCTTCAGGCATGTGAGTACTATTAGAGAAATTATGCTCAAGCATTCACAGGCTCAGGGTCTGCTTCTGTTAGAGAATGCATCTTTACAAATACTTAGTGTGATTGGAATAATTTGTCTGTCTTAGGGCTCTGGAGAATGCTAGACGCTATGATTATTCAGTGGAATTTACTGGTGTAGGGCACCCACCAACAGGAATGGAGAATGTTGGGTTTTGTAGCCAAATAGGTGTGTTTGTTAGAAAATATCCTCAGACCAGTGAATCAGCTCAATCTGAGAAACCCACTGAAGCAGCTTATAAAATGGTAAGTATTATTTTTGTCCTTTAGGAGGATGGATAAAGAATAAAGTTTTCTACGACCTGCCTATGCAGGTGTTCATACTGTGGTCTACTATTGCTATCCAGTCTCAGCTCTGATTAGCACTCTATTAGATCAAAAGAGCCTAAGTCCATGGTTTGTGTTTCTAATTGTATAAAGGCCTTTAACTATCAGGTTATTTGCTAAATAGCAATCATTCTTATTTTATTGTACTGTTATCCTTGGAATGAAAATTCTCCTTTCCATCAGATATAATGTGACACTATTTTTATAATTGTTCCTCTAATCATTAATTTTCTCATAATGTGGTTGTTGGCACAGACAGATTTTTCAGATGCATAAAAAATAAAAAGCATGAAAAAGCATTTCTAACAGAGTTTGTTTTTTAAGAACTGCATAGTCTTTTCAAATATATTGTCAGAAGGAAGGCATTTCCCAAAAATTGGATTGACAGGACCCACTTTGTGTGGTTTGCCTTACTCAGTAGCATTTGATGTTACACCCTAATCTTGGTGTTTTCAGGTAGCCAGTTCTGGTTCTTGGAGAGGCGTGGGATCTTGCCAGGTACCCTGTTCTGCAGTGGTGCACATCAAACCTTTTTGGTTTTTAGCACAAAATGGCTTTCACTTTAAATACTAGCAGATATTTTTGTAAAGTACTCTGCTGTGTGTTGCAGTATGTCACACTGACAAAACCCAATGCATCTAAGTGCCGTGTGGTATAAATCAAAGGACTTTTTTTTTTTTTCCCAGAGATAATATGAAGTAATAATGCAAAAAGAGAAATATATTGTTGGGGTGGATTTTGTCAATCTTACGACACCCTAAATTATTTGTTTCGGTGAACATATTCTAATATTTCACTTCTTTGTTTAAGGATGTATATGTATCTTCAGGTGGCTTGTGACCTGAAGTGAAATGTAAAGTGACATTATGGGAATGTCTCTTGTAGTTTCTGAGCTATAAAGATATTCTATACATTTGAAATTTCCCCTGTCATCTACTGCCCTTAATAGAATCGTGAAGTGCTCTTTAATGTTCAGCAAACTTGGAAATATGTCTAGGTGACTGACAGGTACTAAAAATTGCTTTCATTGTCTTCTGTTAAGGGTCACTATGGAGGGAGCTTTGAAATCGGTATCCTTTGAGTTTAAACAAGGGTGTTATATCTCATGTTTCTTATCAACCCTGGACTATCAAATTAATTTTTATGTTATGTAACTAATTTATGGGAAGAAATCAACATTTCAAGATGTAATCAGAAAGTAAGAAAAAATAGTTATAGACTGTGGAACTTAAGTGGTGGTGTGTTGGTGTAAAGCACTTCCTAGTAAACTAGTGGGAATGAATGAGCTTGCCTGCCTAGTTTCCTTAATTGCTTTGGAATATAGCTCATTGTAGAAGACGCTACAAGTTCACAGATTTTTGACATCACAACTTAGTCTTTAGCATTCTCTGCATCTGTGAGAACATATTTAATGTTTCACTCTGAAAACAGAATAAAAGATGTAGCTGCAGCACATTTCCAGATGACAGTTCAGAAGTAGTTTAGAATCTATGTAGCTGTGGAACTGTCACCAGGCCCTCATGATGAGTAATGTGGAAAGTAAGAGAATGATTAAAAAAAAATCAAGAATAGCAGAGCTTCACTTTGCCTGATCTACAAGTATAGCTTGCAGATACAAGCCTGACTTTTTTTGAAGTTCTGTTAACTTGTTTAATTGCCATTGTAGCTGTAGTACATAAAATAAGTCGTATTGTCTAGTTTTTCTGGTATCTGAATACATTTAAAGTAAGCAAAACAGGATTAAATGAAAAATTATGTTCACATTTTAGAAGCTCTTTTTGACAACCAAATGTTAAAATCTGAGCCTGTGATAATGATGAACGTTTTATGTGTTCTTGTATGTTCTAAAGGTCTTCAAAGCAGTGTATCCAAGTCTTAAGGATGAGAAGTATCTGCAGAATGCAGTGGTCAGTGAAGTTACTTTCACAGCACAAATCATTAAGCAAAGTCTGGACTGCTTAATGTCAGAACGTAAGGAGTATAATGATGATCCTACTGAGAGAAAACGCAAATTCCAACCTTCAAGGAACTGTTTTTCAGAAGATCTTAAAAAACTGGTTGTTGAAAAAAGCATGGAACCATTTGTCAATGGGAATGTGGTTTATATACCTCTTACAACAATCTTTGCTTGTCCCAAAGTGAATCGACTTTGTGGTACCTTTGAGAAGTTACGCAGGCTTATTGCTGGCAAGGTCACACTGAGCAGTGATGGTTCTGCTGTAATGTTCAATACTGAACATGAAAATGAAGAGAATTAGATCACATCATGCTTGGGCAGGATGACTTTTTCTTAAATAAAGCTGAATTGTATGTATAAATGCAAAGTAAGCAGATGTTAAATGATGTAGTTATGAAGACAAATTTTGAAGGATGCATGGGATTGGCTTGTTCATACAGGATTAATGAAGCAACACACTGCAGTTCTTTTTAAGTTTCTCTGCCTACCCAAATTTTTTAGTCAATTTTAATACCTCAGTTGAGTATTTCTTATAAGTAAAGAGATGGTTAATTAAAAGGGGTCATTCTGTGTGTGTTTCACAATGTTGTTGGCAGCTTTGAATGAGCTAGTATTATCAGAACTGACTTCACGTTTCACAAACATGAAAGTTTCACAACTTTCTGGAAATAAAAAATTCTGTGTAAGGGCTGACTGTTTCTTAAAGAAGATGGCTGCATTCTACTGTCTAAGTTTTTGGAATTCAATTGAAATGATTAAGGTGAAAGATCAGACATACAGGGAAAAGGCAGCTGTAATTCTCTGAATTGAGAAATGGTACAGAATCCGTAACAGGTTGAGTTTCAGGGAAAGAATGATCTGCAGTGCTCTGTCATACTGAATGATTAAAAAATGCTTGCTTAATAATTTTTGTCTTCTGTGAGAGATTTTTTCTCCTACGACAGACATGGATTATTAAAAATTAATTTGTCACAATATTGATAATGAATTTTAAGTATTAATTAAAATTAGTCTTTAATATGATATTTAGAATGGTTTTACTTTTTTTGACACTGTGATATGAACTTGCCATAGTTAGTATGTTAAAATAGGTGTAAAATTCAAAATTAGTAAATATTTTGTGGACACTAATAAGCATAGCTGTTTGAGAACAGCATTGATTTGTTATTAGAAAATATCTCTGCAGTTAACTACATGGTTTACTATAGTTGGAAGATTTTTGGACCACAGAACTTACCCTGTGTAATTTCTTTTTGAAACATTTCTTTATTTTACTTTATAGCATGATCATTTTAAAAGGAAGAGAAGAGAAGGAGGACCTCTCAGATTTGGAGTGATATTTGCTTTGAATTTTGTATTCAGGTAACATCTAATTACAGGAATGTCTTGTGAAGAGATGAGACTATATGAATACATGCTTGTTTTTCCTCAAAAGTTTATACCCTTAAGGCTTTAGCTATATTTGGAAAATGGTTTATTTGAATATTTGGTGGACTGATGTGAAGGGGCCTGAACCATCATCCAGTTTTTAAGGGATTTGTGGATCCTTTCCTTTGTTGTAACAGGGTTTAGTTTTTAATGATAGCTAGGGAAAATACCAATTCTTACATTCTTGCTTTTACCTTTGAGGAAATCAAAAATCAAACGACAAATGTTTGGCCCTATCTGTTTATAGCATTCCTTAGTATATGTATGTGCATTGAAACTGAAGATGCTATTGCGTATCATATATAGAAGAGCTATTTGGAATATATGCATTTTAATTGAGACTGCTAGCTTCTACTAAAACAAGGTATGCTATTTTGTGTGCCAGCTTTCCAGGTTTCCACTCGCTTAAATAATTTTTAATCAAGATTTTCTTCAAAGTACTGAATTAACTGTCTTTTCAAGAGCAGTTAAACCCTCTCACAGGATTCACTGTGCACAGCTTTTCATTATCAGGTTGTTTTTTTTGAGTAAACTGTTATGTGTATTTGTGAATAAACACAGTATTTATTGTGTCCCATTTAAATTTACAGTTTGACAAAGGTCAATTCTGATGTCTCAAATCAGGATGCTGAAAAGAAGCTTATGATGATGAAATGTTTTAGACTTGTGGCAATATCACTGACCAGGAGATGGCACACATATCAAAACAGATCAACCTTAGGTTGTTCAAAACTGTAAAATCCAAATAAAGTGGATTGAAAAAAATAACCAAACAGACAACAAAACCCCCAACAACAACCAAAAAGAACCCCACCACAAACCAAACCCAACAGTGCAGTATCTTGAATATACAGGAAATAGCTTAATAGCTACTGAGCAAGTTAGTAGGGATTGATTATGGACAGAACAGCTGAACAGAATGTTTCTGATCAGTGTTTTAAATTAATAACAAAGTCGAAAGTGCTAGAAATAAGTTCTAAAAATATTCTATCACTTATTTTAATAAATAAAACCCAACAGCCTAATTGTGAGAGCCAGGGGAGTTAATTGTCTGTCTCCCTAGACATTTCTCAAACAAATGGATATCACAGCTAATAAACTTCTGATGTGTTTCAGTCTTGTCTCCCATGGGTTTCCATGGTATCATGCTCTATTCTATACTTGTTATCATTATGTTGATAAATGATGTTTGGATCATTCAGTTACTGCTGGGTTATATGTAACTCATAATAGTTAGTTGGTGGGACTTTTTTGTTTTTCTATTTAAATTGAGTAGAAGCAGCATAGGAAGGGGTTTCTGAAATAACAGGAAAAACTCTTATGCAGAAGTCATTTGCACTTTCTTCCTTATCCACAAAACACACACATTTTAATGCAGGCTTGTGTGCAAGCTGTTCACTTGAAACATCCCCAAAATAAAATGCACTGACACTAGTATGTACTCAAATGAGGATACTGGGGAAACATTAGTAGATCATAGATGGCACACATATCAAAAAAAAAAAAAAAACCCAAAACAAAAACCGCAACAAAAAACCACCACACACTAGTGCCTTCTTTACAAGTACATAAACAACTTAAGTTGTGATCAGAAGGGCACTGCATACAACTCTGAATTTAGGCAAAGCTTTGATAGCTTGTGCTTAGAGATTTCCCTTCACAGAAACAATAAAATGAAAAGTTACTTAATTATTTCTAGTCTTTAACAAGGAAGCAACAGAAGGAAAATAGCCTGTCCCACAGAAACATTAACAAATATATTAAGATGTGTTTGCCTTTCTGCTTCTCGTTGGCAGGTCCTGCTCTGAGGCCATATGGGGAACTGAATCAACTAATCTGTTACAGAAACTTGTAGTGGTGCAACAGGTGGGAAGAGGAGGGCAGTTGGGTGGAGTGGGTAGTTGGGTGGAGAGAAGGCAGAACTGCTTATTTTGCCTGAAGAATTATAGAAAGTAATTTTTTCCCCATGCTAATCTTTGTCTCTGTGGTGTTGTCTTCCTATGTCAGAAGGTCCACAAAATGCATGCAAGTGTTCAGTGACGTTTGAAGTTCTGGTACTTCATATCTCTGGTTTTGGGTTAGTTGTTTTTTTCCTATAGTAGTAAAGGAAAATCTTTTCCCATACCACAGTAATGGTTTTGCCTTGGTATATTACATATGTATATGCTATAGTGGTGCATAGCCTTATTTTCATTCATGAGATGTTTTCCTTTGAGATTAAAAAAACCCTGTGTCTAAATTACATGTTTTCCATAAAACATATATGTCACTAAAACAATGTGAAACAATGTAGAAAAAGCAAAGCACTTAAAAAAAAAAAAAATCCCCTAGTGATTATATTTGCAGTTGGTGGTATTCAGTAAGGTTGACTAGCATCTATAATGTTTTATGTATATACATGTACATTTCATATTTTTGAGAAAACTCTCCACTGTGAGTTCCTTAACTGGAGGATTTGTTTGCTGATGAGATTTCCCTTTTATTCTGTAAAGAAACTGTTGATTCATAAAACCAGAAGAGACAACAACCCACAAAAGAAATTATATGGTATTCTGCTGAAATCTTGGGAAAAAATGCCTTCCTTCTTGAATTTAAAGACAGCTGAGACTGGAGTTATTTTAGCTGCTGTTAATATGGTTATACATGTTACTTCTCTAAATCCTTACTATGCAATTAATTGATTACTGAACTGATCTGAGTGCCAAATAGTTTATACTATAATTAGCTGCAATCTTCATCAATTTTGATTTTTATTTTTTAATGTAAGAACAAATGCTTACTGCAGTACCAAAAAGCTTGTTTATTTTGAATGCATTGTTGAGAAAATAAATATATACCACAAGTAGTTTTGTTAGAAAAATAAGAAGGTAATTTACGAAGTTATACAAACCGAATGAAAAGTTTAAGTAGTAGTAAATCTTTACACTCAACTGAGTAGGATTTATTGTGTTATTTGCAAGGTGAGGAGGGTCTATACATAGTACCCTCACTTTCCCCAAATACTGCTAGTTGTGGAGTCTGCTTAATAATTAACCTACCAATATGCCTCACACTTTAAAATTAAATTTTTTTCATTTGCATAAGACTGACACACTACTTTTCCTGTCCAGGAGACAGATAAATAACAATGTACTTGCAATGGTGCCATTAAATAATTTGTGGACTGGAGATGAAGTTTAATAAGCTGGAGAGGTAAAGTTTTGAAAAGCAGTAGAGAAACTGAAATGGACACAAACTTCCAGTTAAGTTTGTCATTTTTGCATTAAAAAAAGACACAGCTGTTTAGAAACAGATTCCAAGCTGAAGATGTGAATTTATTGAATGTCTGAGATTTGCATTTAAATACAGTAAAAAAACCCCAACAAACTAACAACAACAAAAAACCCCATCCCAACAAAACAAAAAAAAAACCCAAACCCACCAGCACATCCCAAACAGTTTACTATATGAGTCTCCAGTATTCTTATAACACAGTTTACAAAAAAGAAAATACTACATCTAAAGATGAAGGTGTGGTTCCACTTAAAATATGCACAATTAGAGAATCGCTTCATAAAGAGTTGTAACTCAAAGTCAGAATAATAAATTACTAGGATACAGTTTTATTAAAAGCTTGATTTCCATGTAAGCTTCCCTCCTATTTAAAATATCTTCTCAAGCAAGAAAATAACTGGTTTCTAATAAACAAAATATCTAATCTATGGCAGTTAGCTATGTCTTTTAACATAGAATACAAATCTGGGCTATGGAAATTCCCTTAAGAATTACATAAGTAGCTGTACAGTGTTTTTTAGAAGTCTGTTTTCTTCAAACTATACTTATTTTTCCTAGTAAACTTAAGTAAACTACCATCTAACTACTACTGTTTTTAATAGCTTTGTCAACAAATATAGCACTGCTAAAGAGTACTGAAAGCAACTAATTTATACAAATGTCATGCATCTTTTGGCTTGCAGTAGGAATTTTTTTTTGGTAGAGATTAGTTATATAACAGGAAAGGAAACTATCATGTTCTGAGAGATACTTGTATACTAGCAGTTATGTAGTTTCTGTTTAAAATTCCTGTGGAGGACAGAAATGGAGAATACCACACTTCTATTAACAGCAGCTAAAATACAATATTTGTATCAATTCTTTTAACGATTAAAACACTTTAAAGAGATTATAATTAACAATAGGAAATAAAAGTATTTAAGTACCATAACTGACAAATAGCTCATATTAATCATATTCAATAACAGTACTCCAGCTTTAAAATCTGAAATTTCCTTAAAAACATAAAAATCTGTTTAATAATGCTAGTATGGATTTATGGAAGACAAAGCCTGCTTTTCCTAATTTAACCTATTAAATACGGCCTACTTATAAGTCAATAAAAGGGTATCAGATATCATTCTGAGCAGAATTTGAAGCATTTGGAGCTTTCAAAAATGGTCACACTATTGGTATTTTTATTTAATCCAAGCCTTACTGATAAACAATACAACTAATCATAACAAAATTAAGGTCATTTGCAGTTTACAATTATATACAGCAGAGCCAAGCCTGAATTAGGACTGTGTCACCTAACAGATACCTTTAAAAATGGATTATTTCATAATTCTCAATTAAAGTTTTAAGAGATCTTTCATCTTTCTTGCCTGTCAGGCAAATCACTATTTGTGCAAATTTAAATACAGTACATTGACCTTAATGTAACAGTGGACAGAGAGTGAGGGAAGAAGTGTTCAACAAATCTGTTGCACAGTAAGACTTTTTCAGAGTGCAGAGTACATCTACAATAAAGTGCTTCTCTTCATAAGTTATATTGATAATAGTATAGATGTTTACTTAGTTTTAAAGCTTAAATTGCTTAGTAAATAGTTTAATCTGCCTTTGCCTCCCTAGTCCCGCAAGGCACATTCAAAACACAGGCAAAGCATTAACTAACTGTGAAGGATTAACCTACAATAAAAAGTTACAAATGGTAGTAAACTACTGACTAGCTTTGTAAACAGTACCATCCCATTGAATCTCAAGGTTCATGCATTATTGAAGTGAGTTTCTGTGGAAGCAGCTTTCGAACTCTTGATTTAACAATCAAGCCAGCTTTCTTGATAATACACGACTGTGCCTTAGTATTTTGATGTGGAATCCCACTTCTTTTGTCACTTGGCCGAAAACAGATATCACATTTGATGCGTTTAAGCCTCTAGACTTCATGTACAGTTAACAAAACTGATTACTGGCTAATTTACATATATTTAGTTGGATTTCTTTTTAAATGCATGTAAAATTCACCTCTACTGTTCAACCTTACAATGAAGTTAGGCTCAGTACTCTCCAGAGAAGGTTTTGGTTATGTTAAATTGTAGTTGCGCTGTTTTGTGGAGGCCTTAATTTTGGCTTGATATTTTGACTTAATAGAAGTAATTAGCTTCTGTAAGACTAAAATGGCAGGTAGGATCAAATTAAGTAATTAATTTCTTCAGGTTCATTTAAGACCAGCTTTTGGAAACTTCTTTAGAAAAGACCACAAGTGATGTCCTGTATAAAATACTGAAATGGGACTTACTTCATCACCCTTCCAAAAATGTTTCACACAACTTAAAAAGGAAGTAATTCCACTAACATCAGGTAGAGCTTACAAAAACAGTCCAAGTGTTCACACAAGGTATACATAGCTAAACATTGCTTTCATACCACAGAAGATGAAGCTCTATGAGCAAGAGGCATTCCATTACTTTTCAAAACAAAGATCACATTGAGTTCATTTTGGCTTTCACAACTCTTGCAACAGAGCACACAAAACCAGAAGTATCAACACCACAGCTCCAAGTTTTCCTCTTCTTTGTCATTCTAGTCTAGCGTTTTATCACCACCTGCTCATATGCTCCAGATCCTACTCTGAAAGAATGTTTAAAAGAAGTTAGTTCAACTCCAGTTTAAATGGAAGCTAAATACCAGGTATAAAAGATCAGCAAGTTTACTGTCTAAAAAAACCAACCCCAAACAAACAACCTCCCCCCCCCCGTAAAAAAAAACACAACAAAAAAACCCCAAACAGCTAAATGTGAAGGGTAGAAAACAAGCCTAATTACCATGCCACTGACTAAACTACAGTTTAATGCACTAAAGCGTTTTCTGTACAATCAAAATGAAGAATGATAAATAATGTTACTGAAAAAGAAGTTACTGTTGGTCCTCTCTATAATTCCCTAAAGTTATCTTTTGGGTGCCCCTCCTATCCCAGCTATATCATATTCAGCTAATACTTTTTATATACATTTGTACATAAATAAATGTCTCAAAAAAAAAAAAAGTGATAGTCATCTTGCATTAAGATACAAGAAAAACATCTTCCAGTCTTTTGTTCACGTTGAATTGTAAATGCACAGTTACAAAACAGTTTCACCGCCATGTGACAGAACATAGTGGGTTGTTTTACATCGCAAATTGCAGTACTATGTCAAAAATTAATAGGGCAAAGCTGTGCCTTAGTATAATATTCTGCCTGGAGTGTTCTGGCAACTGAATTAGGACAGATCCCTGTATACTACTGTAGCATGCTCTGTAACCATACATGTTATCCTAAATAGAAATTGGTGTGTCTGGTTTGCAAATATGACAATGAATTATCTTTTAAGCATCAGTATTGCTTGCTTGTGTAAAATTTATTTGTTTCACAACTTTCAGCACATTATCAGCTGCCTTTATACCTAATTCCAGAAGTACCTGCTGAAATACTAATGCTATGCTAATTTTGTGATATAAAGAAAAATCCTTAGAGTTACCCTGGACTGCAGAATCATGGCATTAGAGGATGTTTTTGTTTTGTTTTTAATGTTTTCTTATCTAAGATTCTAATAGATCCAGGTCAAGTCATATATCAGAGTATTTGAAGAGGGTTTAGAGAAGAAAAGATCCCTCTGGTTCTAAAACAACTACAAGAAGATAATCTGAAGCAGATGATCAAAGGAGAGACTTTAGGGCTACAAATAGTTTTAAGATGAACAAGCCATTGAAACAGGAATAGTGTAGCATATGGAAACAGAAGAAGTTGTGAGCAAAACTGAAGAAAATTAGGCGTGTTATCAGGAAGACATAAGAGTTTGATGCTGTACAGGTAGATGTGTAAAACACTTAACACTTTCTTCCAGCTCCAGAGAGTAATGTTACAGGTCTGTGGAGCTAAAATTTCAAACTAGTGCCTGTTTCCTGTGTCTGTACTGAAACATTCCTCATATCTGAAAACTTTGGAACTGATACTCTTCAGAACCTCTGAAAGTTGTAATTCTTATGGCTGACACATGGGTTTTATTTTGGAACTGACCTATGTGTTTTGTTCTAAAACCTGATGATCTAGTTCTTCCAGTGCCTTTAAATGACAGAATAGAAAGATAGAAAGATCAAGAATGTACGTACAGAATAATTTCTGTATAAGATGCATTTTTGTTAGTGTTACCTATAGATTAGTTGTTTAGGCTACATACCTGTTAGGTAGGTGATGGCTTCCAAAAGAAGTGCTTCCACCAGGGCCCACAAATAATCTTAAACCTTCTTCTAAAAAGCAAGGGAATTAATATATGTTAGCTTCCTTTAATGTTGCCCTAGCTAAAATAAAGTAATTTTAAATCTACCAGTTTTGTAACTGATACTTTCAGATGCAAATGTTTTAAGTAATGAAGAACCAAACTTCATGGTATAAGTTGGAGGAACTACCTTCCTCATAGGTTTGCCCCTGCTTTTTTCAGGCTTAAAGTAATTCTCTAGGTAAGTTACTTGAGTCTTGCAAGGGTCTTTTTAATTTCTGGGAGACAGGATGAAGCAGAAAACGTAGTGATCCATACGCACTTACAATTACAAGCAACAGGGACTATGAAGAGAGTGGATTTTCCTGGAGCCTGTAATGTGCATCAGTTTTGCCTAAGCTCCCTTATTTATCTCCATACCTTCTGCGCTTGAGTCTAAACTGAAGTCTTGACTCTGGAGTATTTTTTCAACTATATCATCAGCATCAACTCTGGTAGCATCAACCCTCTTCAGCTGTGACTCCACAGAGTCTTGCTTTACAGGATGTCTGCAAAAATATATTCAGAGCTCTTAGAAGTGATACGGTAAATTATGTTTTACTTCTGCTAGATACGGCTTTCAAAGTTGAGTGTACCTGCAGGGTTTTTCTGATGGTGCACCTTTAACAGATGTATCAATATCGGGTTCGGTTACTTTTGGCTCAGTCTCTTCACATGGCTCTAGAATACTGCCTATTCCTGTCGAGGTACTACCCACTGAGGTGTTTCTCCTGTGGCAGAGTTCAGACAGACTGGATGATCTAGAGTGACACGTGCTATACCCTGTTGGGAAAGCGCAGGAGAACTCGGTTAAGTGTGTTGTTGACAGCCAGGGTCGTTACATATATTTTACCATCCTGAAAGTAGAATTTGTGTTTTGTCTTCTTATAAAGAGACTTCAAAAACCTTATGAATGTATGCGCATACACCAACGAGGCAATTTATTTTGGGTTTTGTATTCTAGCACATCTTTTTGTTCTAAATAACTCTTGCTTCGTAACAAATATAATGACTTGGTGTCATTACTTCCCCTTCAGCTTTTAGAACTAAGACTCCATTTGTAAGTTTTTTGTTTTTACACATGGAAGAAGTAAAAATTCATTCAGATATGTTAATTGGAGGGAGCGAAGGGAAAAGCGGTCTCACATCTGAACAGAAAATTCATTGTGCTTTTAAGAGGGAAAAAATGTTACCTTCCCCACACCCGAAACTCCTAGGAAAAGGCTTTCAACTTCAAACCATTTTTTTAAACATATAAATTATACTTATCTTCTACAGTCTGAAACTGTGAAAGTAAATAACCCCCAACAATTAATAACAAAATTGTTAACAACTACCTGACAGTTTTGACTGCTGACTTGCATAGCTTGATGTTCTGGAATGTCCACATGCACCAAGTTCATCTGGGACGGAGGCACTCTTTGATGAGACATCTGCAACATGCGCAAATCAGATATTGTTGCTAAAGCCAGCTTTGTTATTACTTAAATCTTGATTAGACTCAAATGTCAGATTTCCCAGAGGGACTTGACACTGGTTTTCTACAAGTCCTTTGAAGATTTGAGTGCTGCAAAAATACCACGTATGTCAACAAATAAGCATTCCTTACAAAAAAAAAAAATCATAATATGTTCTGTCTGAGTAAAACAGAGAGTACATTGGGTTAGAAAGATTTGTATGTTTTAGATTTGTCTGCATTGTGTACATTGAAGACATCACCATGCTTTCTAGGAGCACCATAGTAGAATGGAGTGCTAGATGTTTTCCGGCTGAAAAAGTAACTGTGGTTAAGACAACTTAAGCTGTGTTTAGGGCTGAAATTAGTAAGCTATGTGAGACCCTGAAGCTTGTGGAAAACAAAACAAAACAAAACAGAACAAAACAAAAAAAACCCCAAAATCCCCAAACCTACCCCCCCCCAAAAAAAAAAAAACCCCAAAAAATCCCCAAACCCTCCCCCCCCCCCAAAAAAAAGACCCCAAATTTCAACCTGTAACGAAGTAGTTTAGTCATATTTTTTTCTAATAGTTTAAGTTTCAGAGTAACTACTTTAATTTTAAACATACTTAAACCTTGAACCTTCTACCACTAAAAATTTACTGTTATGCACATCCCTGTGATTTGTAAGTTGAAAATCAAGGGCCAAATTCAATGCTCAGTCAAAATAAAAATCCAAAGCAAATCAAGAAATGTGTCACACAGAAAATGAAATATTTTAAATGTTAAAAAGAAAGCAGGCTATCAATTCAATTTCTGTTCTTTCTTTCCATTAAATAAACTCTTACAAACGTAAAGAAGAGAGATTGCACTGATGTTATCTAGAGAGCGTGTCTCAAAAAATAACCGAAGTGGACCAACTGTCAGCATCCATTTAAAATTTTAAGTATTTCATACATCTCCTCGAAGCTGTGAAGCCGGTTATAAAAGAATTCAGAAATGAAGAGTGTTATTTTATACCTGCTATGCCCAGATGTACTAGTTTTAAGCTTTCTCCACCCTTCCGGTCTTCATGCAAAGATTCTGATTCTCCAGCAATTGCTATAGACATTGCTGTGGAAGGAGGCCTGTAAGAAAAAGGTGGTTAAGATTTGCTGTACTTGTGCTGTAATCCCTCCAAATTGATTGGCACAGATTTTTCTTTTTAAGTAAGATGACATAATTCATACTGTGCTTCAAGTTAATAGGCTTGTAACTTTTTTTTTTTTTCTGAAAACATGCTGCCTAACCCCCTGTTAAAAGGGAAAAAAAAAAAAAAAAAAAGCTTTTGCTATTGATCTTAAGGACATTTTACAAAATCCATCTGCTCAGTCCTTCAGGCTTCCAGGGATCCTTGGAAAGGCTTTTCCTTTTTTAATGATTCTAGAGTGATATGTGTTTATTTTGAAGTTCTTAAAAAAAATATTAAGTGTATGAATCACAGCATAATTTACGTGCTAAGAATATACATAATTCAGTACTTCACGGAATACATGACAAGACGGTAATTTAAAATAAACACAACCACCAACATACAATGACAATTGGCCTACTTGACTTGTGCACTGTGACAAACTCCTGGCTTTCTTTCATCTCTGTTACAGTACATGAGGAGATTCTGGGCTGATAACCCTCCCACTCTTAAAAAAGGGGCGTATGTTACTATCTCCATGTATTCCCCTCTAAGTTCTACCTACTGCAAAACAAAAAGCGTCATGTACAACATAATTTAAGTTTGGTTCCATATTAAAAAAGCTTTTAATAAAGCTTAAATGCTTGTTTCAGATTACACCAAGACCCAAAGGAATATTTTATTAAAATGAATAAACCTCTAAGTTTGTGTTTTGCTAGTGCAAAAGAAACTAATTAGAAAATGACAAAGTGCAAGCAAATACAACTAAAATACATTTCAAGATGTTACCTACTTTTTTTTTTATGCTTTGTTATTTTTGACTTTGGGAACAAACTCTTGGTCTGCATACAAATGGGTATTTGTTGACATTTTTAGATTTGACATATTCCCTAAATTAGTCACTGTCTTTAGGTACAGTAACGTATCCCCTCTTATGTTACGTTTGAAAGTAGAGAGAAAGAGAAAAGGCACTTCCAGAAATACAATGCTCGTGTGGCTTAACATACTTTTGAAAGCAAGAATGGAATGCTTTCAGGGATGTCACCCCAGATCAAACATCAAGCCTTCTAGGCTTCTTCATAAAATATGTAGCTGATTCCAGATTGTGAAATTGTTTTAAGGTTTATTTTTCGTTCTACCAAGGACATCTGGATTAGATAAATTTTTTGTTCTGTTTGTGTTGAAAGTTTACGTTCCAGGAAATGGTTGTATCATCAGTTTGGAAGAAAGTGCCAAGTCTGAATAATTTCAGTTACAGATTTTTTTCCTAGGGAGCCAGAAAACTATTTAGCTACTAATTTCAACTACTTCATACCACCCAGTAAAGAACAGAAATACATTGTTTTATTAGTATACAAGACTAATGATTAGTTAGTTGCCTTTGAGAAATTGTTTATCAGTACCAGTGATGTATTTGTTAATAGGTCTGACTGAAAAGTAAATCAAGGGGTGCTAAACAACTAGAGATACAGAAAAGCTTTGCCCAATCAAACAAATTCAGATAATACCCTTTTACTATTTATTCAGTAAGCACAAGATGAGATTTTACACTGTTCAGGTCTTATTAACGGTTAGAAGAAGAGAGGAGAAAGGGCCTTTAGTGGTGCAAGGGGACATTGAAGAGTTCCTGTGGTGGATCATCTGAGCAGACATTCTCAGGTCTCCTCAGAAACAATGGTAGGGATACAGCCAGAATAGTAATGCAGAAAGTCTCTAGTTCCTATAGAAAACAGTTCTTGATTGTCCTAATTACCCCAGAACCTGCCTTGAACTAGCTAAAACCTCCAAATCATGAGTTACTTCATAGTTGTACCTCAGACCGAGTTAGGAGATCAGTGCTGCTTTTCTTGGAAGGTACAGCCTCATTTCACTTTAAAACACAATCTTTTTTACTTAAGGAAGACTTCAGTATATGTTTACTGCTACAGATTAAGCCTGTATGAGATTATTATCTTTCTTCATTGGATTATACAGAGGGACTTTGCTTGCCTACATTAATCTGATAAAAGATGAGTTTAAATTCAGTTTATGAGAGTATTTTGAATAAAAAAAGCTAATCCATACTGAAGTCAAAGTGTTTAGCAGTTTGTAAGTAGGCACTGTATCTTTAAAATGGAAGATATCTTTGATCCAATGTAAGGTCTGAAAGTATAAATGAAATTTGAGAACCTACACAAAAAGTTGAGATTGACATAGCAAGGGTGAAGCTAGCAATTTTTTCCAGATTGTTTTCCTTAAGCTCATTTTTTTCTTTTCAAGATATACGTAATACTTGGAACTCTGCCTTAGATTGTTTTTTAAAGGGCTAACGTGACAACAAGCATGTTGTCTCAGACCAAAGGTCTGTCTAGCCTTGCATACTGTTTCTGATAGCAGCAACCAACCGATGCTCAGAGAATATGGCACAGATCTGATATATCTCCTGAATACTCTCCCAGCATCACCTCATCTGTACGTTAGGCGTTTCTTGAGCCACATATGATGGTTTACACTTAACAGCCCTCAATAATTTTTCATTCAGGAATTTGTTTTAATTCTTTCTTCAGCTTTTAGTATTCACAGCGTGTAGTTGTGAACAAGTATGGAACAAGGAGTTCCATAGTTTAATCACATCTTGAGGGAAGAAAATACTTCCTCTCTCATTTTGATTCCATCTCCGACTAGTTGCAGTATAACAATGTGGTCAATGAAGTGAACTGAAGAAAAATTTGAGTTAAACTAGAACTTAAGGGATCAAATTTATTTTGAAGGAATTATTTCATCAACCCCTCCCCCAAGCATCTTGTGACAAGTAAAATACAACTAAGTTGGTTTAAACCTGATCTAGATAAAATTGCCATCTACTGCCATGTAGAATTAGAAAAGATTGACATTCAACTGAAAAGCACATACACTTTGAACAATCCAGTCTACCAACGTTCTGAATTACAGAAAAGCAGTGGCATTAAGAATCTTGGCAAGTATTGAGGAATTTTCCACGCTGTGTTCATGGAAGCAGATTCTATACATATCTCTAAGCCTATCCTCAAAATGAATGGCTTTCAGGTCATTATAAAATACCTGTTACAATACACATGACGTGAGAGTTCTTCGCTTCCTACTGATCAGGATAATTAAGTTATGGTTAGCAAGATAGTGGAAATAGGAAGCTTGCCAATCGCACTGGTTCAGTTTAGTCATCCACTAAGCCTGAGTGCCTCATAACGATATGGCTTATTAGTCTAGGAAGAAAGCGACCAACAAATTCATCTTATTCACGACTAGGTTTTTCCCTAGCATGCGTCATTTTTCTGTTCTCTGGTTAGTTACAGAAGCTAACGTGCCCTAGCAAAACTATTACATTTCCTTAACTAAAGATTAAGGACAATGAGGCCAAAGGATCCTGAATATATAGCAGCGTGTTCTAGCTACCTCCCCCCTCAGATATTACCTCTTGCATCTTTTACTAAGTTGCATAATGTCCTTGCTGACTAAATATCTCTAAGTGCTTTCTCTTGTACTAAGTCATATCACACTTCTGTTGGGTTTTTTTGTTTTGTTTTTTTTAAACAGTCTTTTAGTTAAAAAGTCTTTTAAAATCATCTGAGACTTGTGACTAAAAGGTGTAACAGGACATTTTCCAGATGCAAGTATTAGTCAGATCACCCCATACCAAGTATATTTATATAAGCTTGCTGCAGGAACAGTTTCCCCATAAGTGTTTCTTTTCTTTTATTTTTTTTAATTACAGATGTCCAGGCTAGTATTCTTTGCTTGAAAATATACTAAGTATTTAACAGCAAGAACTATGATACTTCTACTGGTATTTTTAACGTTAGCCATTTTTCAGCTACCATCCCACTTGTTTGTGCCTTTTTTTTTTTTTAAATATTGTTGCCAGATTGGAGAGATTTATAAACACCAATTAGAAGTGTAATTCTGAACATGGAATGCATGACCAAAACACTATCCGGGACAGACTTTTGTATAAACTTACGTTTTAAAGCATGGATCTCCAGACATTAGCTGCATGTTGATCAAAACCTACGCATTAAGAAAAAAAAACCCACTGTAAGAAAAAAAATTGAATTGGTCTGTGGTACGTGGTCACGTCACTAAGTTATACTTGCCACAAATCTTACATTTAAGTAAAATAAAATGGCATCAACACATATGCAAATAAACACACTTATGCAAAACACTGCATCTTTTTTCTTAGTACACATGCAAACAACAAAATGGCATTTAAAGTAACATAGTTGCACATACAAGATTCTGCAAAAGATATATAGATCAAGAAGAATCTTGGAATCATTACTAGTCAAGATGGCTTCAAGGAAAAAATAGACAGGAAATCTGAAAGACTAATGAGCAAACAATATTGTTTAAAACAGTGGGTGCTGAAGTATGTTCTTTGCCGAGAGTGTTTAGCAAAGTGCTAGCATATGAGAACTGGTTGTGCTAACAACAGAGATAAAATAAAACCACAAAAGGTAAATAATGCTATAGGACAACAATGCATTGAGAAGGCTTGTTAGCTGGGTCAAAGCCATCAATTAGAAGTTTTCTGGACAAGGTCTATGACTATGTCTTAAATCAGAAAGTGCATGCTTAAACAGTATACTCAATAGTATGAGAAATTAATCCTAGTGTCTTGGTAGAAACATTTACTTGTAACATTCTGTATGTAATTATTTTCAGGTTTATGCAGCTTATTTTTTTAAACTCCTTAGACTAATGGGAGAGAACAGCAGGGTGGGTGTCTTGCAACAATGCTCACCAATTGTTACATTGATTACTAGCAAACAGAAGAGGGAAAGTCCCAGGCCTCATGGAGGTGTTGAAGCTGGTTTATACATAAATAAGCCAATTAAGAGATTCAGTCTTAGAAAAGCAGCACAGCAAGTTGTCCGGTCTTAAAGATATAATCGCTACATTTATATGAATGTATTAACTTTTTCATCATGCTTCACTACTCCATTTTTTCGATTCCTGTTAGAATATGAATACCTTTTGAAAGCTTTTCTCTTACAGCTATCCAGCTCCATTTCAAAGAGTAGGACAAATTCTATTTTTCACTGCATAGATTTTAATGATTCTCTCTAAACAACGCTGATGTTTTTACTTTAAATAGTTTTCCTTCTAGAAAGAGGTTCAGAAAATACGTTTTAAATTTCATTAAATGCTTAATAATACCACTTGCTCTCTGCTGTATTAGCTTAAGTAAGATAAAGGAAACAAATTACTTTGAGAATGGAGTTATCCTGTCTTGTATTTTTGGTATCATAACCTTCCAGTAAACAGCGACGAGTGGTATTTCCCGATCCAGCAAACTCTGCTAGATTTAGATCTGCAAATCCCAGCTGTTAAGAGAAAATGACAAAGTTAATAGTAAGCATATTACTAAATGAAGGTAACTTGCTACATGCACAGTATTGAGTGCCACTCAACAGCAGTTTCTCTCAAATATGAATAAGAGGACGCCCAATAAAGGGAGCGGCCCAAGGCAAAGAGCAGAAAACAAACTTTGAGTGTCAAATTCTGCACATTTCTATTTTCAGTTAAAAATTAGAGTCTCAAGACAGAAAAAGAACACGGAGAGTTTTCTTTGTTTTTAAAAGTAAGCGCGTGCAGAAGGGTTTACTTTTATCAACCCTTTCAACATACTAAATTGAAAGAAAAAAAATCTGGTGATATAATATTACTATGTACTTATTAAAGACACTGATTGAGAGTGTAACTATAATGCATATAATGAAATCATGGGTATTAGAGTACTCTTCTGGAATTACTTTAAAAGGGCATAAAATGACAAGAAAGAAAAGCTAATTCATAGGTAAAATTAGATACATCTCAATTTACCTTTGCATATGCCTTTCCTCCTTTTAGCTCCTAGAAAAAAGAAAAAAAAAACATGCTATTAAGCCATTAAAGATACCGACTGGGTTTTTTTTGCTTGTTTTGTGTTTTTAGAAAAGCAAATACTAATCTTCCTTTTAAAATAGCTTAACACATACTTGCTAGGTTGTGCTGTTGTCATTTAGAACTTAGTATTAATAATGTCCTCAGTGCAGGCCAGCAGGAGACTGTCAACTTGCGGAGGAGGAAAAGGATGAGTGCCTGATGCTGACCAGGATTTGGCTCTTGCAAAGTCCAGCCCCAAAGGTAGGAAGCGGTACATACAAAATTCTGGTACTTAGCACAGTTCAAGGCTTCTAAGTTTATTGCTGCTTGCCAGAAGTATCTATTAACTAACTTTATGAAGACTGATGAGCAATTCCTTTGCCGTCCTGCTGGAATAAGTGTTCTTTTCAATAAGAATGTAAAAAACTATGAATTAGTCAAACTAAGTTAATGAATAAAACTACTACAAAATTTTTACTAGAAGAATACCTGACATGCTTTCCGCTAAAATATGCTTTATGAAGTTTATCAGACATTTAGAAATTAAACCAAAACAAGCGAAGAAAGAGCAGGGGAAGAGGAGAGGAGGGAAAAAGAGCTACTTACCTTGCGTACAGATACCCTGCAAATGCAAGTGTCCAGAATCCCTGTTGTGGCACTGGCACTGATTTTACACATAAATAAGAACTTTTTCTTCCAGCGGACACAGTTTGCCTGTACTACCTCCCTGCAAATAGAGAACATAAGCTTAGTATCAGTTGCATATACATTCAGGACCATAAAACACAGTAGGACAGCTCAAGAAACAAACACTGGTTCCGCTGTTTGTAGAATAGTCACTTTATGCAAAATGTCTTCCAAGGCCTGAATAATCATTGCTCATTCTTCTCTTTGTGTAGCAAGACTAATAACCGATTCAAACCTTGAACATAATATTAGACCTACAGAAATATTCAACAGCCATGTGTTTTTGCAAATGAATGAGACTGTGATTTCTCCAGTTTGCCTCATGAGACTGAAATATTCCTGAACATTAGCTCCCAGGCACTGTCTTCCAAGCTGCTGAGCTTTGGAACGTGCTCAAGATACTGTCTTTGACAATTAGTTTTTCAATACAGAGAAAGGGAGCATCACACAAGCAGAACTAGATAAATTGGAGGCCCGGAAAAGTACAAAGGAGATGATGTACAATAACCAGATACAAGGTAATGCACTTGGGTCAAACAAGATACTTCAGCTACATACTGGGAGCTTGCCATTTGAGAGCAAAATAAGATGACTGGTATCCAAATGGATTTGTTCATTGCAGGAGGATTACAACCTGACAATATGATGTGGCTGAAAAAAGGCAAAATGTAGGTCACTGTCAGCTATATTAATGTCATTATATAAGGCTCAAATGGGACACATTCTGTTTCGGTAACTCTGGTTGAGCAAGAACAGACTCCAAAATGAACAGGTACTAGAAACTCCTGTATCTTTTAAGAAAAAATTACATATAATGAAAATACACTAAGTAATTCAAACGCTTTAGAGACCAAGTAACTAAGTCAAATGAAAAGTGATTACGACCAAAATAAGGCATAATCAAACACCTATTTAAAACTGCAAATTACAAGGTCTCAAACCACAGAGCAAGTTTCTAGAATGGCTTTCAAATAAGAGAATTAGGAACAAAAAAAAAAAAAAAATTATACTGTATTTAAAGACAAGGTTGGCCAGTTTGTCGATAACAGGGGATATAAGGACTGTGATTCTGAGGGACCTGCCTCAATGATCAAAAGCTCTTTTCTAGTCCTACATTTCTAAACTCAGAACTTCGAACTGTAGAGAAACTGTGCTAATTTCTTCTACCACCCTAATTGTTTGAGTACAATCTTCACGTATTAAAGCAATATTTGTCCTTTTCTTTCTCTTCCATTTTTCTAATACATACATTCCTATGTTTTGTATTAACTTCCTACAGCAGCTTATTATTGAAGATCCAGGCTGAAATCTTTAACAGATGTAGAAGTCCACATAAGCTGGAGTCAGAGTTTATTGTCTGTGGAGAAATGATGAATTGCAAGGCTCATGCTAAAGCTCCGATTTGCTGTGCTGGTGAGATTGCCAGCTACAGTGCTCACTAGCATCATGACTTCCTAAGGTAGGAATAAACTAGCCTGCCTAAAATGAGTCATTTTAATGATAACATACGACAAACGGATTCTGATGATACAACACTGAGTCATATTCAAGCATGTGACCTAAAAGGAACAGGCTCTATACACCACGAGCTACCTTTTATCCGTTATGTTTTATATTGTAAACTTTCCTGTGCTTTGGGAAAAAAAAAATAATCTCAAACTACCAGTATATGAGTTATCTAAATTTAAAATAGAACCCGAATTCAAAAAAGGCAAATTACTAATAGTTACATCCTCTGCTGGAAACACACTCAAGCCTGTCATTAAGTAAAATACAACCTGAGGTATTTGATAACTGCTAACATTTGCTACACTTAGAAGGCCTAGGAATAACTTGTAGCACTTATGTGATAGTTGCTCAACTCTCAGGTGAAGAAAACAGTCAACTAGATGTCCACTGTCAAGCAGAACACAGCTATCCAAATGCATGGGTAAATGGGTTCTGCATATTTGCAGGTTTCCTACACTGTGCTTAAAGACAACACAACTTCTGAGAATACTCTTTTTCTGTAGATCACAGTGGTCCAGTAACTTAGAAATGAAATCTCCATAATTTTAAGGGTGTTTTTTTTTCCCTAGGTTACATTTTGAGCTTATCCTAAAAATGAAAAAATAAAAGACCCTCTTCTCTCTTAGAAACACCACCACATCAAAATCAGTTTTACCTTTTTCATGAGCTGTCTAGCTACAATTTTTTGCTTCAAATACAGATGGAATATTTATGTCATTTTCTTAAGTCATTAAATTCACTGTAGAATCATAGAATCATTTGGGTTGGAAGGGACCTTTAAAGGTCATCTAGTCCAACCCCACTGCAATAAGCAGGGACATCTTCAACGAGATCAGGTGGCTCAGAGCCCTGTCCAACCTGACCTTGAATGTTTCCAGGGATGGGGCATCTACCACCTCTCTGGGCAATGTGTCCCAGTGTTTCACCACCCTCATTGTAAAACATTTCTTCCCTATATCTCGTCTAAATGTACCCTCTTTTAGTTTAAAACCATGACCCCTTATCCTATCGCAACAGGCCCTGCTAAAAAGTTTGTCCATGTTTTTCTCATAGGCCCCCTTTAAGTACTGAAAGGCTGCACTAAGGTCTCTCTGGACCCTTCTCTTCTCCAACAACCACTTTTGACGTAGCCCAGGATACAGTTGGCCCTCTGCCTGTGAGCACGCAGCACCAGCTCATGTCCAGCTTTTCATCCACCTGTACTCCTAAATCCTTCTCAGCAGGGCTGCTCTCAATCCCTGTTTTACCAGACCTTAAAGAGTTACTGAAGTTAAATCTTACCAGAAATATCTAATTGATACTAAAATGCATGCAATTACACAAATCTTTAATAAGTTTCAAAAAGCAAGAACTCTTAACAATCCTTTGACTTAAGCTCTATCTTTAGTCTCAGATCAAGACATACTGGCTACGGCTGTGAATCCACAGGAAGCCTGCGTTTGCACATTACTATGCATCCAATAATATCTGCAAAACAATCCAGTCTCGAGTGTCCTTTTGGAAACTAGAAGCAATGTAGATTTTCTGCTATTCATTACAAGGCTATAAAACAATGCTACAAGACTGAAAGTGTTCACTTGTCATCCATAAAGGTCAGAAAATCCCTTCTCATAGATTCTGCTCATCACACAAATAGGACAGTTGTCATCACCCTTCCCTTATCACCCAGAAAACCATTGGGACTACCAGTAACAGAATCACTTCTCCTCCTATTCATCATTTCACTAAGTTCTTGTAGTGTTTTTACATCTGTAACATTTCCAGTTATTAATAATATTTTTTCCTTCAAATAATGCCTTTAATTGTCTGGATGTTTCTGTAAACTCATAAGGTCAAAATAATGTATCAAAATCTTCGTACAACTCAGTATTATGGTTCAGGTTATGTTTCTGCTTTTCAGAACAGCTTTCCACCTTTACAGCAAACTACAGTCAAAGCAGCTTTACATTGTACAGTTATATAGTATCCCAGATATTGCTAACATTATAGTAAAAGATAATTTAGTGAACATTAAGTGTAATATTTTTTGCTTGTAAATACAAGATAAATGCAAGTAACATCTGCTTGAGAGATGTAAGTGTCCTTAAAACCTTTAAGGATTTGGATTTATTTCAACATACCAATACTACTATACTGAATATCATTGTTCAAGTAAGGAAGATGGCACAGAAACGCTATGCTTTTGGAAGACTCAATCTATTCATATCACAGGTCAGGATTTATTCAGGCAAATAATTTCATAAACATTAAATAGCATAATCAAGTTTTTAGGTTTTCTTACAAACAAGAAAATAAAAGTTATAGTAAAAAGAACTCAGTTATAGATACCGATGCTCTAATTCTTGTTAAAATAAAATCAAGTAAAACCAGGAATACCCCTTCCTCATAAGGACATCAAAAAAGCATCATTAGTTTCTTTCACTGGCACATTGTTTTTTAAAAAAACAAACACCACGATATTTGAAACATTTGTACACAATCTGAAAAAACAAAAAACCAAAACAAACCCAAACCAACTGCCCTCCCGTGCCCCGAACAGTTCTGCTAATTCCATTATATAAAGAAGAATTTGACGTATTTTAATGAAAGTAATTTTTGTGGGAAGAAAAGCAAGTTATTCCCCTCATGCTGAAAAAAAAAACTAAGTCAAATAATCAGACCATTTAACTTTAAAGAGTAATATCTAAGCTTCTAAGATTCTTAGTTCAAGTGGAAAGCCTTTAGAAAATAAACAGCTATATTGATTTGTTACTATGGAAATGAACCCAGATAACTTCTTGGCAACTGTGCCTATGCTACAGGGCACGCTGGAGAAAGCTTTCCGTTATGAGTCAGTTTCCTATGAGCCTCACAGTCACTTTACCACATGCAAAGCAAAACCAGTTGGTTTATGAATCAAAATATATCTTAGTAACTAAGATGCATTCAGATACATACTAGGTTGCAGTGCTTTGGTGTAACTTAACGAATGCTGTCAGTAAGACCTAGCCAAGAACAAATTGAATAGACAAATATTTTAAAATAAATTGATTGCAAAGTATAGTTTAAGGTACCATTAGTTTAACAAATTGTTTTTTCTTTAGAGAGACAATTTCACATTGACTAAATTTCAAATGCAAGATTTCAGCTGTAGACAAGTCTTTTTCTGTATGTATTTTATGTACTGTACACAATTGCAGTTTAGAATGATGAATAGAAGTCTTAATTTTTCTCTTCTGATCCACAAAAGAGAAAATCAACAAGAAAGCCAACACAAAAACAACAAATCCTAATCCACTCGACCCCTTATCCTAATTTGTTAACAAGTGGTGGGCTCTTTTTTTTTTTTTTGAAGGTGTTTATGACCAGCATATTTTTTGTTCATTTGCACATGGATAAAGGATATGAATAATGGCTTGTTTCAGCAAATAGCTACAAATGCAAAAATAAATCACTTTTAAGGACCTTAAGTGTCATGGGAAAAATTCCTTCTGGCCAAATGGAAAAGCTTTAGCAGGAGAGGCTTAGAAATAAAAAAGCCAAAACTCCTTG